ATCAAACAAACAGCAAAATACTAAAAAAGTGTCAACATTGCTTTTTCTATTTAAAAGTTGATTTGAATTTTCCAAAAATAATTTTCATTTTTTTTTGTTTTTGGTGACAAAAAAAAAACTTTTTTTTGAATTTCATTCGAATTCAAATGTCACCATCATTGTTTTTGTTTTTTCGTTTCTGGTGAAATGATAATGAATTTTCTTAATTGGTACTACAGAATTTGCTCGCAGTGATTCTCAAATTTTTGTTGGATTTTGGTTTCTTTTCGCCTGTTGAATTTCAAATGTGAGAATCACTTGACGATCGTTTTTTTGTTGATTGCATCAAAAAAAACGACGACAACAACACACCCATATTATTATTGTTATTATTAGGCCATGATTATTTTTGATAACCATGAAAATCATTTTTTTTTCTCTCGTTTGTTTCTTGGATTTATACCAAAAAAATCAAATAAATTTACATCGTGTATCGTGATTTTTGTTTTTTTAATGTCTTAACAAGTTTATGGAGAAAATTTGTCGTTCTTGAAGCAAAATTTTGTGTTTTTTGTCCTCAAACAATTTGCGGTTAACACGTATTGAAAATATTGTTTTTTCTGGTTTGTTTTCCAGGTGAACAGATTTGTTTAAAGGCAAAAAATAAATAGAAATCATGGCATCACGTGGTATTGTACGGGCAAGTAAATTTCGTCATGTATTTGGTCAGGCATTAAAACGAGAAAATTGTTATGATAATATACGTATATCGAAAAATTCATGGGATGGTAATTTTTGTGCTGTAAATCCAAAATTTGTTGCCATTGTTATTGAAGCGGCTGGTGGTGGTGCATTTTTAGTTTTACCATTGAAACAGGTAAGAAAAAAAAAAGATTTATATTTTGATGAAATAATTGAAGATGATTAATGGAAAAGCAATTTCTTTTTTTTTTCTCGCATATATAGCCTGGACGTGTTGATATTAATCATCCATTAGTTGCCGGCCATAAAGGTCCTGTATTGGATATTGCTTGGTGTCCATTTAATGATAATATTATTGCCAGTTCATCGGAAGATACAACAGTTAAAGTATGGCAAATTCCTGATCATGGTTTAACACGTACATTAACTGAACCTATTGTTGATCTTGTTGGTCATCAACGTCGTGTTGGTTTTCTTGCCTGGCATCCATCTGCTAATAATGTTCTATTATCAGCCGGTGCTGATTGTAAAATTATTATCTGGAATGTTGGTACTGGTGAAATATTATCAGCTATTTCATTACCTGATTTAATTTTTCATGTATCATGGTGTTGGAATGGTTCACGTATTGTAACAACAACAAAAGATAAAAAAATACGAATATATGATCCACGTACTGGCGATTTGGAACAGGTTTGTAACTAAAGTTTTGTCAAATTTTGTAAAACTAATTTTTTT